AGGGGTCATGTGACTTGTGGTTACGAAGCTATGGCAAAAAATTCCAAGCCTATGTTAAGTGCTACGCCCCTTTTATAAACTCATTTATATATACCTTACTATAAGCACCTACCATAGATATGTCTGCATACCAAATGTTATGTTTATGTGACTTATGGTTCCGAAGTTATAACTGGTAAAATATTCCACGCCTTTGGGATTTGCCGCCCCCTTCCACAGTCGTATTTATATATATACCTTACTATAAGCACCTACCGTAGATACCTGCATACCACATTTCAAGTTCATGTGACTTATGTTCCGAAGATATGACTGACTAAAAATTCCACGCCTATGTTATCTGCCACGCCTCCTTTTACAAACTCATTTACATATACCATAAGATAAGCATCTACTATAGATATGTTTGCATACCAAATTTCAAGTTCATGTGACTTACGGTTCCGAAGTGAGAGCTAATTAAATAATTCACGCCCATGGGAGGTGCCACGCCCCCTTTTCCAATACCGCCAATTTTTTCCCATGAGTATGGAATTAATTTTATTTATCTCGACAGCAAGTTCCAATGCTCTACCACAAATATTTCAAGAGATATACAATATGAAAATTTTAGTAAGTATAGGAGGTGCCACGCCCTCTTCTCCAGCACTGCCCATTTTTCTCTATGCCTATAACTTTCCCGGGGAAAAAGCAAATAAGTGTGCAAAGTTTCGTGCGATTCCGTGCCGCGGTTCAGAAGTTATAAGGTAATAAGCAAACATTTACATTTATATATATAGGTGAATTCAAGTTTGCCTGCCAATTCTTATGGTCTTAAAGTTATTCCAGCCTATGTTGAAAGTGCATTGTTGCAAGTATAAGTCAACATACATACAGACATGGTGTCTGTGAGTGCGGGCGCGGGGTCGAAAACGTATATCGTTAAAATGCCATGGCGTATGAGTTATCTATCAACATCAATATTTAGTCCGGTTATGCTTCCAAGCTTGTGCTCATTCACCTCGGTTTGTTCTTTATTTGCAGATTTTTGCGAATAGTTGAAAATTCGTACAAACTTTTACGGAAATAAAAACAGTATTGCTTTTGTTTACGTAATTAACTAAATACAAAGAGAGAAATTTCTTAAAATTTTCAGCAGGCATTTCGGGAGGGGTTTGAACCCCCAAAACCCCTACCTGCGTTCGCCCCTGGTTACCGTATATCTTAGCATATCTTTTGCGAATGCCTCTTCATTCGATAGGAAACCGACCCCAAGGTGACGGAGCCATATCTTTCAAGGTGCTGAATATTCACAGAGCATGTGCTCTACAGCTTCCTCATCTGTTTTTATTCTCATTCGCATTTGTTTGCCGAACTCATAGCACTACAAAATGCTGATGTCGGCAGTGAAGTTTTCATGACCTATAGATTTGCTCACTCACTTCCAAAAGCTATGACCGATTAGCTGTTGAAATAGAACGAGAAATTACCTATCGGCTTGAAAGAAAAATTGAAGATAGCCAAAGTGTGAGTGCATTGGTAAAAAAGGGTGAGTGTATGCAAATTGAAACAAATTTAAAATGTTTTTTTTTTTTGAAACGCATAAAATGTGTGATTTTGTTTTCTCACATACGAACAAAAAAAATTTGATATTGATCCAATATCCATGGTATGTACATTAGGCTGGGTCGATTTTGTATGGGGGAAAATAAAAGTCATTTGACCGCATTGTAATAGTGATATTATGATGTTTTAGGCCTAAGCCAATTGTTATTGGCCAAAAAAGATTAATTTAAAACTTATCTTTAGCCCGCGCAATTAAATCAAAGTGTATGAATTTCGAAAATGAAACTTTGGCTTGTAATATCTATGGAATGAGTTATTGTTATAAAAAGGATGATATATCAAATTAAGGGCTATTAAATTTAGTACCTCACATTCATTTATCATTTTTCAATAAGTCTACACGTTTTTAAGATATCAAGATAAAACTTACAAAAACTATAATATTCCCTTATGAATTTTCAATTCTTCATTACTTCAGCAACCAAGTGAAAAATACAAACAAGTGAGACGAGATTTATTTCAAACGGTTTAATGTTTTCGGATGTTTATATAATACTAGAGGGACCATAGACTTAGTCACGCTTAGTCGTGGTGAATGAATGTATTGTCAAAAATTAGGAATCGTTTGACAAGTTATTAGTAGTTTCAAACATATAAGAATTAACATACATTAGCATAATACAATTAGGGTGAGAAACGCCCATTTTAAGTCCATTTTTGCAGTCTTGAAAACTGGTGCGGAATGGTTTCATTAGTCGCCGAAGAAGCACATTTTTCGCTGTTTCTAAATTTGCCGTTATATGAAAGTAGGGGACGTGCAATAAGTTTTTAGATATACATAAATATTTTAGTTAATTCCATTATGTGAAAAAGTGACTGTGGGAAATCCTTTTGAGGAGTCTCCAATTGGACGATATTGCTTTGCATTCAGCTTGAATGAAAAAAGTCACTCGCTGGCACAGCTTTCTGTAATCCGGTTCTTTTATTTAAAGGTTATTTATACAATTGATTATAATTAAAAAAAAAAAAAACTGGAGAGCCACTTAAGTTTTTCGATATAACTTTGGTAAATGTTACTCGATCGGTACGTAATAATTAACAAATTGAAAGCGAGACTTACTGTTACTGATTTATGATAACAATATGATGAAAATCGTTCAGATTATAAACCAGTTATTTTAATATAAAAAAAATTTTAACAATTTTTTTTGTCATTTTGCTATATTTGCAATTTTTAAATTGTATGCATAAACATAAGTAAACTAATTATTGTTTCCAGAAGTTGTGCCTGTTCAGTGTTTCCATACTCATTTGAATAAACAAAATTTTTCCACGATGATGGGAAATAATGGCTATTCTATTAGAGCTACCGAAATTGTTCCTAAATTTGCAAAAATTCGCAAATTATAGCTAATATTAAAAAAAGATTAGAATATTTGGAACTAGCGATTTAAATGCACGCCAGCAATATTAATGCTGTTCATCACATCTTTTGATTATAGGCCAGTGCAATTATCAAGAGAACAATTAAAATTTCTTTGAAAATAGTTAAGTTTCAGATTAACGATAAGCTAAAGTGCTGCGAGAAATGATATTTGATTTTATCTTTTGCGTTAACGGATTCATTATCTAACAATATGCACCAACCCTTTTTACTGAACCCAGAATTTTTAACAAGAATTGGTCTTATTCGACTAGTGTGCTGTGGGTCTCTTGGCGGTCGATGCGCGGGCTCTCACAATTAAAATAAAATACTAATATTTTGCAGGCTTGTTGTTGACTTCATGATACAATATATTTTCACTATTACCAAGGGATTTGAGAAAAATTTGATTTTCGACCCGCCCTAATGTACATATGTACATGTTTTACAAAAGTTTTTTTTACAATACGTTAATTTTTTTATTTAAAGGCCCGGTCTTCTTTAGTTTAACTTTAAAGATTGGTGTGAATGGTTAACCAATACTGTAAACAATGTTATGTGTAGATTTAATTTTTACTGCTAATTTGTGTAGCTAAAAACCCCGCAAATTTAAGAAATCTCGTTTTAATGATGAAAAAAATTTTTGTAGTTTGGAAACTGATTTGGTAGGCGTTTTGGTACCTAAAAATATTTTCAAGTGGCAATACTGATTTTTTAGCCTTCCATGGTAGTGAAAAAACTTTTTTTTCTTCATGTAGATTTTTTCTAATTTTTCCTACAGAATTTAACTGTGCTTCGAATTTCTCGTGAAAAGACCAATACCCTAAAAGGCATTCTTGGGGAACCACATTCTGCATGGTC